TGGCCGACAAACACACAGAGACTACCACAAACGTCATCCTCCTGGCAGACAAACACACAGAGACTACCACAAATGTCATCCTCCTGGCCGACAAACACACAGAGACTACCACAAACGTCATCCTCCTGGCCGACAAACACACAGAGACTACCATAAACGTCAACCTCCTGGCCGACAAACACACAGAGACTTCCATAAACGTCATCCTCCTGGCCGACAAACACACAGAGACTACCATAAACGTCAACCTCCTGGCCGACAAACACACAGAGACTACCACAAACGTTAACCTCCTGGCCGACAAACACACAGTGACTACCACAAACGTCACTCTCTTATTCAAGAAACACACGGATACTATTACAAACTTGATCCATAATTCCATCAAACACTCAGAGACTACTGCTAAAGTCATCCTCCTGGCGAAAACTCACAGAAGCTACCACAAACATTATCCTCCTGTTCAACAAACACACAAAGGCTACTATAAACATTATCCTCCTGATCAACAAACACAGATGCTACCACAAACATTATCCTCCTGTTCAATATATATATATATATATATAGAGAGAGAGAGAGAGACAGACAGAGACAGAGATAGAGACTTAGAGAGAGAGAGAGAGACACAGAGGCTACCACAAACATTATCCACCTGTTCAACAAACACAGAGGCTACCACAAACATTATCCACCTGTTCAACAAACACACAGCGGCTACTACAAACATTATCCTCCTGTTCAACCAACACAGAGGCTACCACAAACATTAACCTCCTGTTCAACAAACTTAGAGGCTACCACAAACATTATCCTCCTGTTCAACAAACACACATAGTCTAAACACTCTGTAAGTCTCTGTTATGTCTTGTAATATTTCTGTTCATGTCTACAATATATCTATTGGACAACACAAGTTGCATAGTTTTTTTGTTTTTTTTTAAACTCCCAAATGCCCTTCACTCTCTTGTGTGTGTATCTCAGTGTTTTTACTAGTGTGTTGTAAAGTAGTGGTTTATACGACAATGTGTTTTGTACATCGACGTATACATTTACCAGTGTTTAAGTGTCTCTCTTGTGAGTAAGGTTCAGTGTGACATATCTTTCCTGCTATCTCTGCCTTTGTGAGTCATGTTTTATCTTTATGATGGCTAATATCATTATCACTATATAGTGTCTACCTGAAATAGATGACTTTGAAAAATAGCAGTGATAATTTCAAAAAAATTAAATTTTTGTTGTTGTTAGAATGCGAATAAGTAAACATAAAATAATTGAGCTATAACTACACACATGTCAATAGTTAAAGATCTTATTAAACAAGTCAAAACATAGATAGTGGAGATTGAATCGTTTCAACACTGATGGAAAATACAAATCTATCTATTTATCTATCTATCTATCTATCTATCTATCTATCTATCTATCTATCTATCTATCTATCTATCTATCTATCTATCTATCTATCTATCTATCTATCTATCTATCTATCTATCTATCTATCTCTCTATCTCTCTATCTCTCTATCTCTCTATCTCTCTATCTCTCTATCTCTCTATCTCTCTATCTCTCTATCTCTCTATCTCTCTATCTCTCTATCTCTCTATCTCTCTATCTCTCTATCTCTCTATCTCTCTATCTCTCTATCTCTCTATCTCTCTATCTCTCTATCTCTCTATCTCTCTATCTCTCTATCTCTCTATCTCTCTATCTCTCTATCTCTCTATCTCTCTATCTCTCTATCTCTCTATCTCTCTATCTCTCTATCTCTCTATCTCTCTATCTCTCTATCTCTCTATCTCTCTATCTCTCTATCTCTCTATCTCTCTATCTCTCTATCTCTCTATCTCTCTATCTCTCTATCTCTCTATCTCTCTATCTCTCTATCTCTCTATCTCTCTATCTCTCTATCTCTCTATCTCTCTATCTCTCTATCTCTCTATCTCTCTATCTCTCTATCTCTCTATCTCTCTATCTCTCTATCTCTCTATCTCTCTATCTCTCTATCTCTCTATCTCTCTATCTCTCTATCTCTCTATCTCTCTATCTCTCTATCTCTCTATCTCTCTATCTCTCTATCTCTCTATCTCTCTATCTCTCTATCTCTCTATCTCTCTATCTCTCTATCTCTCTATCTCTCTATCTCTCTATCTCTCTATCTCTCTATCTCTCTATCTCTCTATCTCTCTATCTCTCTATCTCTCTATCTCTCTATCTCTCTATCTCTCTATCTCTCTATCTCTCTATCTCTCTATCTCTCTATCTCTCTATCTCTCTATCTCTCTATCTCTCTATCTCTCTATCTCTCTATCTCTCTATCTCTCTATCTCTCTATCTCTCTATCTCTCTATCTCTCTATCTCTCTATCTCTCTATCTCTCTATCTCTCTATCTCTCTATCTCTCTATCTATCTATCTATCTATCTATCTATCTATCTATCTATCTATCTATCTATCTATCTATCTATCTATCTATCTATCTATCTATATATCCATCCCTCTCTCTATATATATTAATATTTTATATATATATATATATATATATATATATAGAGAGAGAGAGAGAGAGAAAGAGAGAGAGAGAGAGATAGATACTTAGAGAGAGAGAGACAAAGAGAGTTATAGAGGGAGAAAGAGAGAGAGACGGGGAGAGATAGATAGATAAAGAGAGAGAGAGAGAGAGAGAAAGGAAATGTATATGAAATGTGATTTTATTTAGAGATGTATTCTGCTGCTAGGCTGCTGAACTTATCGATCATGGATGTCAGGTGGACGTATGGCCTTCACCTAGATTCAAAGTATAAATAATACTTATTTGATTTTTCACTGATCTTAAAAAAAAAAAATTAAAAATATTGATTTCAACAATCGTTAAGTACATTTTGCATCCACGAATAAATCAAATTGCAAGGTTGAATTGGTAGGGCTTTTCACCACGTTTTTTCCCGAGAGGGAAAACTGAGTCATTATCCGAAGTGGAGACCAGGAACAAAAACAAATGACATGTCGACAAGATGCCTTCTTCTGAGAACAGACAGCACACACACACAAAACACACCAAAAAAAATTGTGCTGTTACAAAAGTTTAAACCTGTGACATCAAGATTTGATTGTATTACAGAAACTATCTTATTTGATTCACTTCTTTCAACTTTAATCAAGAAGTAAAGATGATGTTCATCTCAAACTTCAGGGCACAGTGTGCTCAAAGGCGAAAATAATTAAATGTTGGCCAGTGATATTTCTCATGGACAATGCTTATCCCCCCATTTAGCACCGCGAAATTTCTGTTTTATGACCAGAAGATTTCACATTTTCATCCCACTCCCGTAAGTCGAGACAGATAAATGATGGTGAAAAGAAAAATCTCTTTTGTGTAAAACATTTTATTTATGAATTAACATACATGTTTTAAGCTATGTAATCGGATATATTTGCTAACCTTACTTGTTGTACTGTAAACTAAGGAAGCGATTCAAATAAAATTTAAAGGGGGGAAAAAAAGACAAACCATTATGAGAATAACATAGCGTGATGACGGTGTGTGGAAGTGATGGTCCCCACTCTGCGGCCCCACTTAATATGACAGCAGAAGTGTGCTACTAGAACTGTTTCTATGTTGAAACTAATGAACAAGTGTATCACTGGATGGTGAGTCAGTGGGTGAGTCGGTGGGTGAGTCAGTTGTTTCCATGTGAAAAGATAAAGGAGGCGCACCTAAAATATATCAATTTGATTGGTTAGCTGGCGGGATGGCATTTATTTTAATCGTACTGGACTGACATTAAATAACTGAAGTTATTATTACCCCTCTCCCCACCCACTTTTTTCCAACGGTTTAATCTTTTGTCTTGTGCGTTTTTTTTTCGTGCACGCCTCTAGTGTTCTTCAATAAAATTAATACAAAACCAGCTGTGTCAATAACATATAAATCAAGCAAAGAACGAGGCACTTCCTGTATTTTATTATTTTTACAAAATACATTCTCATGACTTAGGTAGGGTTTGTTTATTAATGTTTTTTTGGTCGTGGCCAGGTGTTGCAAGTTCTTTTTTATATGCAAAACCTAGTGCGCCATGTATGCAGCCTCCGAGGTGAGGCATGTATGCAGCCTCCTTGGTGATTCACGTATGCAGCCTCCATGGTGAGACACCTATGCAGCCTCCTTGGTGAGTCATGTATGCAGCCTCCATGGTGAGACACCTATGCAGCCTCCGTGGTGAGTCATGTATGCAGCCTCCGTGGTGAGTCATGTATGCAGCCTCCTTGGTGAGTCATGTATGCAGCCTCCGGGATGAGTCATGTATGCAGCCTCCGTGGTGAGTCATGTATGCAGCCTCCATGGTGAGACACCTATGCAGCCTCCGTGGTGAGTCATGTATGCAGCCTCCGTGGTGAGTCATGTATGCAGCCTCCGTGGTGAGTCGTGTATGCAGCCTCCTTAGGGTTTGGGGGAATGAGTCACTATGCTTGGTTATTACTGCTGTTGCTGTCAGAGTTGGTGGAGGCCTCCTTCTACAAATGAGATAAGTTAACTCAAAAACAAAAAAGGCACACATAAGAAATATCGTTGTAACACGATTGTGTAGATTTATAGATTTCAATTTTATAAAGCTTTTTTCCCAGGACACATCCTGAAGACATTTGTCCGAGGTGTCCAACATAGATGTCTTGGGCACATCACGTGGTGCACCCAGACAAGCATTTGGTTCAACGATGAAAACTCCCGGACCAGGTGGACAAGATAACTTTAGACAGGTGGCATCATGCGCGTCTTCATGGCAATGATACTATTTAGACATAATTCTTTGAACTGTTTTGACAGCTTTCAAATAATATCGTAGATATATTTGCTGATTTATCATCTGATCAACTTGGCTAATCAAAACCATTTACAAACTTTACATCAACACCATCAAACTTGCAAAACAGGATTTTCCTCCATGTTTTCTGTGTGTCCGATCATCAGAGACAATGCATTCCAAAAAGCCACTTTAGCATCATCGATGGACTCCCTGGGTGGGTATTCAATAAAGCGGTTGTCTTTGTGAACTTTGATCAGATCCCGTGGCATTTCTTCCACGGGAAACGGTTTGTACAGTAGAAGATGAAGAATCTGACGTTTGCTGTATAACGATTCCATGATGGACATGTGAGTGCCATACTCTGTCCACTCACAGTCCCAGAAGTCTGGAGAGATGATGGCCAGCGTCAGATGGCTGTTCTGTATGGCGCTTGTGATGTTGCATGGAAGGAACGAGCCGACAAGAAAGTCCCTGTCCTCTATGCACAATTTGTGACCGCGTTTCTCTTCCAGCTCCGCCAGACAGTCCCTCAGGACGAAGTGTCTGTCGAGTTTGGAGTAGAGGACGTACGCGTCGAACGTAAATTTCCCCGTCTTGTGCTGGTCGCCCGGCTTGTACCCGTACCATCTGGTGATGACCAGGTTTTTGATGTAGTACAACCGCCAGCGGTTCCTGAAGAGCAGAAGTGACGAGATTAAAATGACGAACACTGCGCACGAGAAGGACGACGCGAGGACTAAATTGACCTGTGACGCGCATTTCCTCTGCAAAGTGGACGCCATGAGTTTTAGGTCTCCGAGGGCTTTTCTCTCGGACTTGTCGTCAACGCACACCATGTAATCCTTATCGACGATCCTCACGTTGGTGGTGGCGAGCCATTTGAGGAAGTCGATTCCGGTACACGTGCAAGGAATCGGGTTGAAAGCCAAATTGAGACTGACCTCACGATGTAAGGCGATCGTGTCCAGGTGTCCCCTGGTGGCTTCACTTATCCACGTGACAGAATTCCAACTCAGATCCAAGTAGTCGAGGTTGATTAAATGCGACATGTTAACGTCAAGTTTTTGAATCTTGTTTTTCGACAAAATAATAATGTTCACCCGTGCGAGGCCGATAAACACTTTCCACGGAAGCTCTTGAATTTGATTTCTTGATAAGTCTAAATAACGCAATCCCGGCAGTCTCGCCAGCTTTCGCCCAAACACATCGTCGGACAATTCTCCCCCTAAGAAATTACCACCAACGTGCAGTTCCTCCAACGAGTTGTTTGTTAAACAAAATGAATTCTCCCAGTGATCGTAATAATTATTTGTGAAATCCGCGACCTTGACACTTGTTGGAAGTCGGTTGTCGCCCCATCTCGTAGGAAAAGCCCCGGAGATGTTAATAACCTGAACCGCCTGGTAACTGAAGATATTTTTGTTGAACTGAGAAGTACCAATGGCCGTGTACATCTTCAAGTGCTGTGGCCTAATTTTAGAATGTTGTAAATGTTGTGGAGAAGGATTCTTTACGGTGTTGTCGCTTTCCGGGGTAAGTATATCGCATTGGCACGAGTCGCTCGCACCAAAGTGTGGCACCGTGTCCAGACCGGAAAAAGTGTTTTCCAAATCCTCGTTTAAAATCTCCAAGTACGCTAAATTTTGGGAAGTGTAAACGTATTTCAAAATGCTGTTGTCGCGGTACAGATTATTTCTGCTCAGATTTATTCTTCTAAGTGAACTCGGTAGCCCCTTTACGAAGTCGAAGCTGACGGTTGAAATCCAGTTACCTTCCAGGTGGAGCTCCTTTAAATGCTGGAGGTTTTGGATATTTCTCACATGTTGCGATGAGAGTGTGCGCGAGATTTGACCAGAGGGAATGTTGTTCACGACTAAAATTGAAAGGTTCAAATGGGTTACTCCTGACAGACTGCCGAATAGATCTTCGAAATTGTACTTGACGCCCGTGTAGTTCAACGTGTCGAGTTCCAAATTTGATTCAAATGCAAGAGGAGAAATTAATCTGGGGCTGCAGCCGTTAATTTGAATTGTTTTAAGAAATGGGAAACCAATAAAGTAGTTATCAACCAGTTCGATGGTGTCGCAGCTCCCGTCAACTCCGAGTTTTAACGTTGACATACTTTTCAGTGCCTGGTAATCTTTCCCGAAGTAATCCTCATTGGCCTCATCAACACTCAGCTCCTTGAGACTCGTTAGCTGCAGTAACGCAGACAGGGGGTAGTGCAAACTGTACACTAGGAACTTTTGAATGGACAGAACTTCCAGGCGTTTCAAGGGTTGAAACAATCTCGGGTGAAAACTCCTGCTGCTGTAGGACAGCGGATTTTTTCCAAGGTTCAACGTTTTTAAATTGTCGCAAGAATCAAAAGCGCCGTATTGGATTTGCCTCAGCCTGTTGCCGCTTAAATCCAAATATTTCAAACTTGAGAGCCCAAGAAAAGTTTGGTTGCTCACAGTTGTGAGTTGGTTGTTGCCGAGATTTAAATGGATCAGTTCTCCCAGGCAGGTGAACCAGCCGTCGTCTATGCTGACCAACAAGTTGCCGAACAGATCTAGCAACACCAGGGACGCGACGCTCTTGCACGGCTGGAAGAATAGACCGTCAATTTTGTTATTTCGTACCTTCAGATAAGTAATAGTCCTGTACCTGGTGACGTCTTCCAGCGTAAAATTGTACAGCTGATTCCCGTTCATGTTTAAGCTGATCGTTTTGACCGGGAGGTTCTGGGGCATTTTGGTCATGACGTAGGGCACGTGTTTGGTGCACGTCGCCGCCACGTCCCCTTCTCCGCTGCAGTTAAAGCAGCTGCAGTGGCCGCACTTGAAGTAGTCTCTTGGCGGCGCACGGCGTGGGGTTTGGTCTATCGAAGCCTGGTCTTGTACAGTGAAACCGTTGCAATCTGGGTCAGGGTCAAACACGTTGTACCCCACGTCGGTTTTTTTTGACAACGGTTGGCATGTGTCGTCTGGCCAGTCACTGGAGAGCAGACTGACAGCGGCGCAGATCGTCAATGTAATGAACACATTAATTAAAAATGACATGTTGAGAATGTGATTGAGTCGCTTACTTTAAACGAGATGTCTGACTCCCAATGGTAGTCTGCTTCTCAAGTCTAGTTAAGTTGTTGAGACGTAGCTCTTGAATCCAAGCTTAGCATTGAAAAATTCGATGTACTTTCAGTGTGGAAAACATCGCTTCTCATCGCCCGAAGACCATTATATTATTTTGATCTGGTCATGTTTCCTTCCGTGATGGACTCTGACGCACATTGACATTCTGTATTTCTGATGTTAAGGTATCTAAAACTCCGCCTCTGAATATACAACCTTGTTACATCTGTAATGAAAAATAATATCAATTTAGTTTTGAGGATCACGTTGCATTTACGATTGGGGCCCCGTTACCCACCCATCCCAACCTCCCATATCCCAGCGGCGGAAGCCAACCAACCTTTATCACTCACCCTAGAAAATGGGTAAACTCTTTATGTGTGCCTTTATGAATATTAGAAATACAGAAATATACTGCTAAAAATTGTTAGAAAGTTGTTGAGTATTAAGTGTATTGACAACAAACGCTGAAAACTTTGATCGATATTCTTTCTGTCTAATTCTCATGAAATCAAATTTCAGCCGGCGTACAAAAAAGATATATATATATTTTAGATTTAATTTTTAAAGTTCCAAATGTCGTTCGGTTTTATGGCTGTGCGATCAACACGTGTGTCATTCCATTTTATAGGATAGGAGTTCAATTCTGGGCAATGGCCAGACCATTAACACGTATTGCGTTCCTCATTACCGCCTTCACCGCTAAAAAATAAAATATAGTTTTACATTTTACCCCACCCCTAAGAAATCAAACAAACCAACCAACTCAGATTGGGAGCAGCTACCTCCTCCTCTCACCTACTTCCGTGGAGACGCCCCTTTCTTCACTAAAGGGAATTGAGTCAATCTGAGCTATTTGACACCAGTTATATTTAAACAATGTTTTTATATTTTGATTCACTGATACACACGCACAATAACAACACATTTGAAATATAATTATTTATCCACAGTTTATATTTCAGTTTCCCATTAACCAAACCACCTATAACTTTGCTAACTAAAATAATTAACTTCACTCAGTCCCTCGAAAGAAGCACTGCAGATTAAACTTTGTAAACCTAGTGCAAAAAAGCAACAAAAATAAACAAATATCTACACCACGTTCACAGTCAAATCACAAACTGGCAAAGAGGCAGCTGATCACAGCCCTCACAATTACACTTGTTCACCTAAGGCTAATGCAATCAGTGTCTACACCCACTGTCTATGTAAAACACTTAATGACATGGCAATGTAAATTACTTAATGACATAGCAAAGTAAAACACTCAATAAATTAGCTATGTAAATCACTTGATGACATACCAATCTAAAACACTCCCTGACATAGCTATGTAAAACACTCCCTGACATAGCAATGTAAATCACTTGATGACATACCAATCTAAAACACTCACTGACATAGCTATGTAAAACACTCCCTGACATTGCTATGTAAAACACTCCCTGACATAGCAATGTAAATCACTTGATGACATACCAATCTAAAACACTCACTGACATATCTATGTAAAACACTCACTGACATATCTATGTAAAACACTCACTGACATAGCTATGTAAAACACTCACTGACATAGCTATGTAAAACACTCACTGACATATCTATGTAAAACACTCACTGACATACCAATCTAAAACACTCACTGACATAGCTATGTAAAACACTCACTGACATAGCTATGTAAAACACTCACTGACATAGCTATGTAAAACACTCACTGACATAGCTATGTAAACACTCACTGACATAGCTATGTAAAACACTCACTGATATAGCTATGTAAAACACTCACTGACATAGCTATGTAAAACACTCACTGACATAGCTATGTAAAACACTCACTGACATAGCTATGTAAAACACTCACTGATATAGCTATGTAAAACACTCACTGACATAGCTATGTAAAACACTCACTGACATAGCTATGTAAACACTCACTGACATAGCTATGTAAAACACTCACTGACATAGCTATGTAAAACACGTCATGACATAGCGGCAATGGATCACATTCCTGAACAGCACTCTTCTCGAGTCAAGCGTTCATTGTTTATTTCCTTAGAGGAGGCGACAACTCTAAGTGACAACATCCGGGCCCCAGTTGCGATAGATTGTGTAGCGATTAATAATATACCATGCCAGGCGCAATTTAAGTTAACAAGATCTTGCACCTTCCGATTGGTTTCTGTTGACAAGATCTATCACTTTACTGTTTGTTTCAGCTATTTTAAGTATACCACGTCAGATTCTATTTATTTATTTTTTTCTAGATTGTGTGTATATATTTTTTTCAAAGCCAATTATTTTCGATGGCAATAGAGAACATAAGTTGGGAATGTTCATTGATTTACATATGAATCACATGAATGACGTATTTTTCCTGTTTAACGTAATACATTACTAGTGGCTTGGGAAGAGGGGGCGGAAATTGGGGGAGGGGGTGGGGGTTCCTTCTGGTGGCAATTTGTTGCATACATTAAGGGCTTGCATTTGCGGCCACCCGCAGAATGCTTTTCATAAAAGCGGGTGGGAAATACTCACCCCCCCCCCCCCCCAGGGAAGAGGGGGCGGAAATTGGGGGGGGGGGTGGGGGTTCCTTCTGGTGGCAATTTGTTGCATACATTAAGGGCTTGCATTTGCGGCCACCCGCAGAATGCTTTTCATAAAAGCGGGTGGGAAATACTCCCCCCCCCCCACCCCTTTTTTTTCCACCGGGAGGCACCAACGCTAGCTGTACCATTGTGTATTCATGCTCCATTAACAAGACTGAGAATAGCGTTTCTCTCATGACTAACAGAGATTGACTTCCTGGTACGGGGAAACTTTTCATTTTTGATACAGGGATAAACTTTAGCAGACGAGTGAGCATTGTTCAGAGTGACCTTCGATCTGGTTTAATTCGGTTTTTCACGGAATATGTTTCTGTTCACATCTTCCTTCTTTAAGACGGGTTAAATCTATTTTTGTCCGATCTTCGATGAACGGGAGCAGGCACATCTAAGTCTTGAGGGTTTTGTTAGATATCCGAGACTGAACGGAGCAGGCACATAGAAGACTTTAGGGTTTTGTTAGATATCCGAGACTGAACGGGAGCAGGCACATAGAAGTCTTTAGGGTTTTGTTAGATATCCGAGACTGAACGGAGCAGGCACATAGAAGACTTTAGGGTTTTGGTCCGGGATTTTGACTTTTATTCTGGTTGGAGTCGCTAAGGGATTGTTCATTTCCCACAGAGAATCTGCCAGAAGGCAAGTAAGAGACTGCCTCAGTCGTTGTGTGACGTGCATGCGCTCTGATCTATCCGCACACTTTTACTTATAATTAGCGCACTAATGAGTTTTTGATTCAAAGATTTAACGCATCCCTAAATCGATCTCCGCGGCCCATTTGGACGCTGTGCAAGTATAAGCAAATAGGCCTTTATATTTCTGTGTTTGTAGTGTGCAATTTTTAGGTGTTAGTAAGGGAAGATTTCTCATCATTACTTATATTAGGCAGTGCTTTAACCACATTATGTTAATTTGACTTGTAGCCATGATATTGTGATGGTTGAACATACAGCCGTTTACTGAATTCATAAATGGAATTGGATATCAGTGTATGTGAGCATACCACACAACCGTTATATCGTTTTGGTTACACATACGGCAATATGCTTGTAAGCAACAGTATGAACCAGCGAATATACGTAAAATATGTCTAATAGGCTATAACTCGCCTTGTGCTAAATTCTCACATAGGAAATGGTGCATGTGTTAGGATAATATTACCTGCCGTATTAATATAATTAAACTTTCTGCAATTTGCTGTTTGTCTTAGAAAGACACTTCCATTGTTAGATACAAGTATCAAACTAACGGTGGACATACTTTATACCATTGTAGTAACTGCCCTGCCATGGGTGCATATTACATAGACACCTTACAAGGATGGCATACCGTAATCATTTCTAGACTTTTATGTTAGCCCTCACATCTCACATCTCACACTGGTTATAAATGTAAGACGGTGTACGTGCTACACGTTCAACACTGCCACGGGATATCTTTCATAATTTATTTGTAATTGCCATGTGTATAACATGTGCTATTCTGGTCTTAGTTAAGTGTATTTTGTTAGACCCGGTAATTGCAAAGTTAGTTAACATGCTATTGTTAGCTGTGCTACTCCATGTTAGTCAGGACATTTGTTAACCTGTACTATTTGTTTCTTTCCAGATGTTGTCCTTTTTCTTCACTGTAGACTTTTTCTTCCCCTTTTTAAAAAATATATTTTCTCGTTGGTAAAGTTTATAATAAAGTTGTAGTCATCAAGACCTGGATTTCTTTAGTGTATGTTAGTAAAACTGTCAGCCTCAGTCCTTACCACCAACACCCACTTGGCTACAGTTTTTTTTTATGCGGCGAGTA